TGGGACCACAACTGGTGCATACAGCGGTTGATAACATACACATACACACAGAGCTGTGGATAACGATCTAATTCGCACACACAGCTGTGAGAAAACCGAACTCTATCACACACACAGCGGTAAGTAGCGACTTACAACACGCACACTTCGGCAAACAACGGCTTTTAACGCACACAAAGCTGAGGATAACGAATTCTATCGCTCACACACACACAGTGGTGGATAACGACCCCTATCGTATACAGCATATATAACGACTTTAATCCCAAATACGGTAGTGGATAACGAAACCTGTCGCGCGCACACACACAGTGGTGGCTAACGACCTCTATCACACACAGCAATGGTTAACGACTTTAATCTCAATCACAGTAGTGAATAACGAGACCTGTCGCGCACTTAGCGGTGGATAATGACCCCTATCACACACAGCAGTGGATAACGACTTTAATCCTAAACACAGTAGTGGATGGCGAGACTTGTCGCGCACACAGTGGTGGATAACTAGACCTGTTATAAACAGAGTGATTCATGTTCAGAGTGATTTATAGTGGCAGTGGCTGAGAGGGCAGCAACAATGAGTGTAGCTTCCCGTACACCAATAAATAAGATCCGTGTTATAACAAATAGTCTTCACGCCCAGGTCTTCACAGCGTCATAATCTTCACATCGGAAATGGAAACTTTTGAAACTGCCGTAGCTGATTAACCCTTGCTGGAATGATTGACGATAGCCCCATCGCCCTACTGGAGTCTCCTGATGAACCCTTGCTGGAATGATTGACGATAGCCCCATCGCCCTACTGGAGTCTCCTGATGAACCCTTGCTGGAATGATTAACGATAGCCCCATCGCCCTACTGAAGTCTCCTGATGAAACCTTGCTGGAGTGACTGACGATAGCCCCATCACCCTACCGAAGTCTCCTGATGAACCCTTGCTGGAATGAATGACGATATCCCCATCACCCTACTGAAGTCTCCTGATGAACCCTTGCTGGAGTGACTGACGATAGCCCCATCGTCCTACTAAAGTCTCCTGATGAACCTTTACTGGAATGACTGACGATAGCCCCGTCGCCCTACTGAAGTCTCCCAGCTAAGGTTGGCACATTTCAACATCTTGTACGAGCTCCATTCTACGAGATGGAATATGACAGGGAAACATAGCGTTTGTTCCCACTGTGTAACTATCATATAGAATAGGGTAGCAACACTGCTAAAAAACAAAACACCGGGAGCGACGAGTGTGTGAAATACAAAACGCAGCAATGTTAGACTAACACCAAGAGTACACGACACAAGAGTTTTGATAAAGCCACTGGTTGGCCAAAGTCTCCAGAATAAATATACCCAGGTGTTACACACGTGTCTTAATTTATCGACGGTATTATTTACCATTGACGTCAAGACACAGGTGAGTTAGATTAACGTCAGGTTAGCAAGAAAACAGTGATGAGCTAACAGAAGGGGGAGAAGCAGAACAGACAAGTACAACAACAACAGAAAATACTCAGTGGGAGCCAGCTAGTCCTTGGGAGTTTCCGGTCGAAGCGATGTAGTCTTCGCGCCTTGCGTGCAATTTGCTCCTCTATTGAGCAATGAAGCATTATTTTTAGTGCACAATTATTAAATTACTTCTCTCTCGACTCTGAGAATTCAGTTATAAAGTCGAGGGAGCAACTAGGCGCCGCACATTTACCCTTCAACTAAGATGATTCTGGGACTCGAGTTGGCAACCTGGAATTACTTCGCGCTAAGATATCTACTCAGCAAATCGTTCGTTTACTTAGGATTGTTTATCATTCCAGTCTAAGATTTAATGATTAAATCTTTTATTTTGTTCAGTGAGTCGAGCGGAGGAGCGGAGCATTACGAACTCATTACCCGCCATATATCAACTACAGACATCTTCCGTGGCCGACTGGCAACCCGGTATTAATATCCCAAGCTGTGTTATTTCCCCCGCTATACCTGTAATTGATTTGGAGGTGTGGGTGCCAATTAGCGCCAACCACCGAGCTTGTTATAAGGTTTAATTACACTTGTTCTAACGCCCTCACAACCGACTCTAAGGAAGATGAGAGGTTAGCGTTATTTACACCCAGTCCGCTGGCCAGCCGCTCGGCCCAGCCGGCCGAAGAACCAGCTCCCTACGTCGAAGCGGATCGTTACGTTCGACGTTGATAGAATTCGTCTGCTTTCCGTTGCCGCATTCCTAGAAAGGTTTACGTCTCGCGATAAGTAATATTAATTGAGTACTAGCTGTATGTTATATTTGCTCGCGATCCATCCCCCAGGTAAAGTTATGAGGGTGTAAAATAATCCATGAAGTCTGCTGGTAGTGGGAGGCTATCGTGACAAACATCCACTCTTTACCGATGCTCTTTGATGTTGCCGAAATTACCGTGGGTGGTGAGGTGCGCACCTTAAATTAGAGTGGGAGACGGTTGCCCACGGTGTCGGGTCTCTCACCTGTTCCTTATGCCAGCGTGGCTAGAGTGATGAAGTTATTATTCTTTAAGTAATTCCAACGTGCGGCTTGGGCCCCGCTGATGAAGTTATCAGGCCTTACCGAGGTGGATCTAACATATGGTGGTAGTGGTGGTGTGCGTGGGTGGTGGTGTGTGTGTGGTGGTGGGGTGTGTGGGTGGTGGTGTGTAGGTGCTGGTGATGTGACATGGTAGTGAGATGAGCAGTGATGGGTGGTAATGATGAGGGTTAGTGATGAGTGGCGGAGTGTCAGTGTGACTTTGTAAATGGTCCAAGTCGACCCGAAACATCGTCGTAAGCTCCTCTCTCCTATGTGCAGGTTATTTGTGTATTGTTCCAGTCACGGTATTGTGCCTTCTTGTTCTTTATGGTCGTGTTGATCAGCATTTGTGAGTGTACTCTCTCACCTCCAGAATTCTACTCCTTGCCATGACCTCGCTTATTTCCTTCGCCGCTTGATCGTATCTCGCAACACGAGATGCAGACGTTATGATATCTCCCAAGCCATTACATTCGCTGCCCATCCACACCTATTTTCTCGCACCAATGCAGATATGAGCCATGGAAAATATAAGGGTGTAAATAATAATTGAGATATGTGAACGCAAGCATTTTTTCTCTTCATCAAGTACAACAATGTGAGGCATGAGGAATAATGTATACAGCTATATCAATATAATATTAAGTCCAGACACGTCGAGGAATAGGGGTAATCCACATGTAAACAGAAATTACGTTTAAAGTAAATATCTCTATCTCCGTTGGAGATCTTTCTGTATACAAGTGGATTTTTCTTCAGTTAGCTATATAACGCTCAGTTTAGATGTAATTATTATTAAATTTTGACTTGATTTGTGAGTCTTGAGAAAAACAAATGGCGAACAAAATCTGCTTGGTCAATTCTACCGCTGGAAGATGCTCATAGTACCGTGGCTGGATTAATTCCCAACTGACTTACAATACCATGGTTGAAGCAACTCATAAGTAACCTACAAATACTATGGATGGAAAAAATTCACAACTAATCCACATTACCCTGGCTGGAACAATTCACAACTTACCTACACTGCCGTGGCTGGAACAGTTCACAACTTACCTATACTGCCGTGGCTGGAACACTTCACAACTTACCTACACTGCCGTGGCTGGAACAGTTCACAACTTACCTACACTGCCGTGGCTGGAACAATTCACAACTTACCTACACTGCCGTGGCTGGAACAGTTCACAACTTACCTACACTGCCGTGGCTGGAATAGTTCACAACTTACCTACACTGCCGTGGCTGGAACAGTTCACAACTACTATCATGCCGTGGCTGAACATTCACAACTTACCTAACTGCCTGGCTGGAACATTCCAATTACTACCTGCCGTGGTGGAACAGTTCACAACTTACCTACACTGCCGTGGCTGGAACAATTCACAACTTACCTACACTGCCGTGGCTGGAACAGTTCACAACTTACCTACACTGCCGTGGCTGGAATAGTTCACAACTTACCTACACTGCCGTGGCTGGAACAGTTCACAACTAGATAAATTAGACACATGTGCAACATTTGGGTATCTTTAATGAGGAAACGTTTCGCCACACAGTGGCTTCATCAGTCCATACAAAGGAGAATGGTGAAGAACAGGAGAAGTTTGAGGTTATCAGTCCCTCAGTCTTGAGTCGATGTAATCAGTCCATCAATCTTGAAAAGAATACAGTATATGTGCGAAGAAGTGACTTATATACTGCAGGAAGGAGAGGTGCAGCAGTCGTAGGTGGTGTCACATTTGACGAATGTGGAAGTAGGTCATGCCCAAGGGTTAGGCAAGTTGAAGAATTCCCTGTATTAAGATCCCAAGATGTTGCTGGGTGACACAGTAACATCGACTCAAGGCTGAGGGACTCATTACCTTAAACTTTTCCTGTTGTTCACCCTTCTCCTCTGTATGGACTGATGAAGCCACTGTGTGGCGAAACGTTTCCTCATTAAAGATACCCAAATGTTGCACATGTGTCTAATTTGTCAATTTGTCGGTTCTCAGAGCCATTCATCTACAAATCACAACTAATCCAGAGACTGGAAATTAAAAATTCGCATCTTGATAATGAAGCATGATAAATCGAAAAGTCTTCCAGTTTCCCTTTCCAATTTGAATTCAACTTGTGCCTATAAGAGCACCATTTGAGATCATTTTTTCGAAAGCTCCAAATGACTGTAAACAACAGTAAGAGAATGGCAGAATTACCGACAAAATATTAGGTAAATGTACACAGATGCAACTAGAGTTACCACAATAAAATGTCACATTAGTAGCATGTCTTCACTTACCTAACAATAGTAAGAAACACACGTTACAAAGCAAGCTTTTATTGGGACAAGATTTCGCTCTGTGTAGAGTTTTAACGTTGTTCCAATACATGATAAATTCTACAAACTGTGTTTTTCTTCAGGAATTTTTCCCATTTCTTCTCCAACATGAGCTTTGTTTGTCATCAATTTCTCATTTCTTAACAGACTTGGACGACGCAGACGGTGACGCGGCGGCCAAGCGTCGGCGGTCAAGGACCAACTTCAACTCGTGGCAGCTGGAGGAGCTGGAGAGAGCCTTCGAGGCTTCTCACTACCCTGACGTGTTCATGAGGGAGGCTCTGGCCATGAGGCTGGGGCTCACCGAGAGCAGAGTAGCCGTGAGTATCTTACCCACCACTGTTGTGTGACTGAGAGCAGAGTAGCCGTGAGTATCTTACCACAACTGCTGTGTGGCTGAGAGCAGAGTAGCAGTGAGTATCTTACCCACCACTGTTGTGTGACTGAGAACAGAGTAGCCGTGAGTATCTTACCACAACTGTTGTGTGGCTGAGAGCAGAGTAGCAGTGAGTATCTTACCCACCACTGTTGTGTGACTGAGAGCAGAGTAGCAGTGAGTATCTTACCACTGTTGTGGTTGAGAGCAGAGTAGCCGTGAGTATCTTACCCACCACTGTTGTGTGGATGAGAGCAGGGTAGCCGTATCTTACCCACCACTGTTGTGTGACTGAGAGCAGAGTAGCCGTGAGTATCTTACCCACCACTGTTGTGTGACTGAGAGCAGAGTAGCCGTGAGTATCTTACCCACCACTGTTGTGTGTCTGAGAGCAGAGTAGCCGTGAGTATCTTACCCACCACTGTTGTGTGTCTGAGAGCAGAGTAGCAGTGAGTATCTTACCCACCACTGTTGTGTGACTGAGAGCAGAGTAGCAGTGAGTATCTTACCCACCACTGTTGTGTGACTGAGAGCAGAGTAGCCGTGAGTATCTTACCCACCACTGTTGTGTGTCTGAGAGCAGAGTAGCCGTGAGTATCTTACCCACCACTGTTGTGTGACTGAGAGCAGAGTAGCAGTGAGTATCTTACCCACAACTGCTCTGTGTCTGAGAGCAGAGTAGCAGTGAGTATCTTACCACAACTGCTGTGTGACTGAGAACAGAGTAGCCGTGAGTATCTTACCCACTATTGTCCCTTCGACAGAAAATCATGAAAGCAAAAATGGCAAATTTAAATTATATTTTAAATCACTATTTTAAATAAATGTAAGTATAATCTGGAGCTTGGGGTAGATGGCAGGGGACCCTTCAGGAATCTGAAGGTCATGGCTTGGTTGTAATATCTAATGGTGTTGGCAACACGGGCGAATTCCCTGGGTACAGTTAGGAGTCATCCGTCTCGTGATTAGTGGACGGAGGATCGAGCCTCCAGTTCCTCTGTCTCCTACACGGCTGAACCATCTACTGCAACATATGCAACAATAACAGTGACTTAGACACGAGTCCCATTATTTCTGTTCTGATTTCTCCTTGATTCTCGCAGTGAAGGTTTTTAGGTTCAGAATCCCGTAGCCAGCAGGACCCGCCAGGCCCCTACCGACGGTACATCATTACCTGCAATCGTCCTATCTAAACTAGCACGTCAGCAAACGTCTGCTCACCTGATGGAGGAACGTTCAGCTGACGGAGGAACGGATGCCCAAATGATCGAGAAACGCTCTGACATTTCCTGGGCGCTGTGTGTATCACCTCGTTTACCAATCTAAGCTACGGGGAAAATTACCTCCAATACACAGACTGACACTAACAATAGTCATTGCTGGATATATGTCTTGGTTCTCGGCCATTAAGCGCAAGCGAAAATTGGGTGTATTTTTAATGTCGGGCATTTTGATGCAAATGCTACATTGTGAGGAGAGCCATTCAATTGCTTGTTTGGATACATTGTAAGAATCAAGTGGAAAATTGCTCTTGCAATAAGAAACTCCATTGACGGATAGTTCCAGTTTTTATGCGGTCTGGTCTGGAGGTATTATGGGCGGCGCGGCCTCACAATACCTCCAGACCTTCTACGCCAACACTGACAACACGAACAGAAAAAAAAAAAAACGTTCTGATACGATTTTTAATTCGTCGGAACGTTGCCGAATGTGGAGACCTTTGTTATGCTTTACTGTACTGCTTATGTCACTAAACTCGCTCTTATTAACGAGGGTCAATAATGTTGTAAATAGTTCTTGAATAACGAAATCGGAATGACACTAACCTTGGCTTGTGAATAATGCGTTATTACTGTAACAGAATATGATGTGGCTGATAGAATGTTAGGACTTAGACTACTGTAATCTCCTTTTGTCTGCCACAGGGTGGGTATTAGGTGACTTCCACCTACAGGGTTAATTTGGGGGATGACTACCTGCCCCAGGATGGGTATGGGGTGACTACCAGTCACAAGACGGGTATGGGGTGACTACCAGTCACAAGACGGGTATGGGGTGACTGCAAGTCACAGAATGGGTATGGGGTGACTACCAGCCACAGGATGGGTATGGGGTGACTACCAGCCACAGGATGGGTATGGGGTGACTACCAGCCACAGGATGGGTATGGAGTGACTACCAGCTACAGGATGGGTATGGGGTGACTACCAGCCACAGGATGGGTATGTGGTGACTACCAGCCACAGGATGGGTATGGGGTGACTACCAGCCACAGGATGGGTATGTGGTGACTACCAGCCACAGGATGGGTATGGGGTGACTACCAGCCACAGGATGGGTATGGGGTGACTACCAGCCACAGGATGGGTATGTGGTGACTACCAGCCACAGGATGGGTATGGGGTGACTACCAGCCACAGGATGGGTATGGGTGACTACCAGCCACAGGATGGGTATGGGGTGACTACCAGCCAAGGATGGGTATGGGGTGACTACCAGCCACAGGATGGGTATGGGTGACTACCAGCCACAGGATGGGTATGGGGTGACTACCAGCCACAGGATGGGTATGTGGTGACTACCAGCCACAGGATGGGTATGGGGTGACTACCAGCCACAGGATGGGTATGGGGTGACTACCAGCCACAGGATGGGTATGGGTGACTACCAGCTACAGGATGGGTATGGGTGACTACCAGCCACAGGATGGGTATGTGGTGACTACCAGCTACAGATGGGTATGGGTGACTACCAGCCACAGGATGGGTATGTGGTGACTACCAGCCACAGGATGGGTATGGGGTGACTACCAACCATAGGATGGGTATGGATGACTACCAGCCACAGGATGGGTATGGAGTGACTATTACCCTCATGATGGGTATGAAATATCTACCGCACACAGGATGATGGGTGGGGGGAAGGAAGTGAGGCCGGTGAAGAGCTCTTGATCCAAAGAATTGGAGCTATCAGGAACAAAATTCATCAAATACTGGCAACAATAACCCTCAGTCAGGGAAGTTATTTGTGAAGTGAAGTTGCTCTTCCCTTCCTCGGATCAAACCAGATTACCTCCCATTTCCCAGGCGTTGTATGACCCCTACAAGTTTAGGGCTTCCCCGTGAATATATTAATTACTATTATTGCTGCTACTACTACACTGTTAATAATAATAATAATAATAATAATAATAATAATAATAATAATAATAATAATAATAATTTTAATTACTCAATAATCATAGATCTGCGTATTTACTTTTCGGAATTGCATTTTAAGTATTGTATTTTTAGTGCTGCTAATACAATACTTACTTTATCAATGCAGTTATACAATTCTGTGTATGATTTATATTGGTAAGACAATGATGTGTATAATTTTTGATTAAACAATTGATATGTATAATTTATAATGGTTTGTGAGATACACAACAGTGTATCAGATCTATGTATACAAAGTATATGCATACATAAATGTATACAAACACAATTCATACATACATACACTATACATACATTCATACACTTGTGTATGAATTACACTCGAGTATGCTAGATATACACAGTGTTAATGCTAATCTCAGTTTTATTATTATTATTATTATTATTATTATTATTATTATTATTATTATTATTATTATTATTATTATTGTCATTATTATTATTATCATAACTAAGCAGTAAAAGTTTTTTAACATTAATCATTTTAAATTCAATTCAAACTTTTTTATGCAAGAGCAACACTGCATATATGCAACACCTGCAATATATATGCAACACCTGCATATACACAACACTTAACATTTGCATATACGTAACACCTGTTTAAATATGACATTCTACTGACTCATTTTAATTACATTTAAAAATTACATTCTTGTCTATGTAATTCATATAATAGTTATCTTGTCTGAATTATTTATTCACATAATATTTGTCTGTTTATGATAGTGAGTGTTAAGTGAAAGTGAGTGTTGGGTAATAATAAGTGAAAGTGAGTGTTAGGTAATAGTAAGTGAAAGTGAGTGTTAGGTGATAGTATCTGAGAGTGTTAGGTAATAGTAAGTGTAAGTGTGTGTTGGGTAAAAGTAAGTGAAAAGGAGTGTTAAGTAATAGTAAGTGAAAGTGAGTGTTAGGTAATATTAAGTGAAAGTGAGGTGTTAGGTAATATTAGGTGAAAGTGAGTGTAGGTAATAGTTAGTGAAGGAGTTAGGTAATAGTAAGTGAAAGTGAGTGTTAGGTGATAGTAAGTGAAGGTGAGTGTTAGGTGATTAGTAAGTGAAGTGAGTGTATAGGTGAATATGTATTAGATGAAATGAGTTGTTGTTTAATGAAGTGAGTGTTAGTGATAAAGTGAATGTGTTAGGTAATAAGTAAGTGAAAGTGAGTGTTAGGTAATAGTAAGTGAAAGTGAGTGTTAGGTATAGTATTGAAGAGTGTTAGGTAATAGTAAGTGAAGTGGTGTTGGGTAAAAGTAAGTGAAAGTGGAGTGTTAGGTAATAGTAAGTGAAAGTGAGTGTTAGGTAATATTAAGTGAAAGTGAGTGTTAGGTAATAGTATAGTGAAAGTGAGTGTAGGTAATAGTTAAGTGAAAGGATGTTAGGTAATAGTAAGTGAAAGTGAGTGTTAGGTAATAGTAAGTGAAAGTGAGTGTTAGGTAATAGTAAGTGAAAGTGAGTTAGGTAATAGTAAGTGAAAGTGAGTACTAGGTGATAGTAAGTGAAAGTGAGTGTTAGGTAATAGTAAGTGAAAGTGAGTGTTAGGTAAAAGTAAGTGAGGAATAAGTGAAGTGTTAGGTAATAGTAAGTGAAAGTGAGTGTTAGGTAAAAGTAAGTGAAAGTGAGTGTCAGGTAATAAAAAGTGAGAGTGTTAGGTGATAGTAAGTGAAAGTGAGTGTCAGGTGATAGTAAGTGAAAGTGAGTGTTAGGTAAAGTAAGTGAAATGA